AGAATTGTATATTTACTAATTGAAAACTAAATTAGTTATATTTTACTAAGATAAAACTGTATAATTTAGAGGTTAAGTACCGATACTTAGGTGGGGTTGTAATGTATATTCCTTATTCTCATAACTTAGGTAGGGTTGTAATATATATTCCTTATTCCCATAACTTACGTAGGACTGTAATGTATATTCCTTATCCATATATATATATATATATATATATATATAATATATATATATATATATATATATATATATATATATATATATATATATATATATATATATATGGCTAGGTTATAATGTCGATGCCATCTATTGTGTACTCGTAAAGACAATTCTGGACCAACGGATGAAAAAATGATGAATGTCTATGATTTAAGGATCTACGATATTATATATAATGGAATAAGATGTACTATATAATCACATAAAATCTTTTTTTAGAGTATTTTAATCAATCAAACTATCTTTTAAAAAAGGAAAATTTCGAATTTTAAGTGATAAATGATTCTCTAAATTTTAAAGTTTTGATTTTTTTTTTTAAAATTAAGTCATGTTCAAATATAAATTAGTTTTTAGTTATAACGGTTTTATTCTATCAGAATATCATTCGGTTAGAATGTTATTCTGTGAGAATTCTGTGAGAATTCATACCATTCTTCAATCATTTTTCAAGAATGAGCCAAATAACATAACATTTGAATGGTAAAAATGGTTGTAAAAGATTTTCTTACAAAATCTTTTTACACTTTTATGATAATCAAGTTATAATATAATTAGAAACTAAATTACATCAAAAGAAGTCTAAAAGAAATAAGAATACTAAAGAAATCAGAATGTATTCTAATAGAGTAGACTTCAACTTCTACCAGAATCCAGAATATACTTGATATTATGTCATAATTCAAAATGCACTTAATCTTCTTTTCGAATCTAAAATGCACTTGAGAGAATTTCGTTTTGCAATCTCACTTGATTCCATCCATAAGAAAAGTATACATCATCTGATCTTCATTAAAAATCCTAAATAAATTTTGAAAGAATAAAAAATATCACAAATGAGGATATCATTCTTTTACGAATGATTCTTGAAAATCAAAAGAAAATTACAAATAATTATCAAATTCTATCATAATGACATTTTGAATGAATACACTATCGTTCTTGAGAAAAGTCTGCAAGAATATTAAACAAATACGTTTAAAAGTTTAGAATACACACTTGCAAAAATCTATCACAATACTAAAGACATACATATCATTGCTAACTTATGCAAACCAATTTTTTGAAGAATTCAAACTATAAGATAATCTTTAGAGAGAACTTTAAGAATTCTTTTGTCCATGAGCTGTGTGGAATTGATAATCTGCTAGTCATTAACTACTAATTGGTAGAGTTTAAAAAGTAAAATGTTAAAAAAATGAAACTAGAATGTTGTAATGGAAATATAAATTAAAGTAATTTATATTTCTAGCATTTAGCCCAAAAACAAAAACATTAGAAATACAAAAGCTTCAAAGATAAATAAAAAATCAGAAACTAAATGTTAGCCTGGTTAATAATAAAATTTGTCCTATAATGGGTACCATAACTTTAGAAATTGTTTATTATAAAAAAAAAATACGCTTTGGAAGAAACAAATCATATATTTCGTTCTTCCCAAAACAAAGGTTCACTTTGGAAATTCAACCATTCTACTTCTAAAGCTATATAAGCACATGATGATTTGTCATTTTGCACCATTATAAGAGTTTTCACAGTTAAAAATATAAACATTCTTTAATTAACAACGGATATGATTCTTATTGATTGTTGAGCTACAATTAGCAAGCTAAATGTTGATTTCCTCATCTTAAAAACATAGTAAATACATGCATACTTATAAAATTTGGGATAAGATTAATATGTATATCAAGGAATCAAAGAAAAATTTAAATTATATTCAAATTAAGAGGAGTCAAAATGCAAAAAGTAACTTTTCAATGAAAATCATAATTCCAATCTACATTACCAATAAAATTCAGATCAAATCTAGTACATAACAAGTATATTTAAAACCCTAAATATATAATCCATCAGAATTTAGAATATGCAAGACCCAAAACAATGATTCAAGTTACCAATCATTGTTTAGATAACGAAATTTTTAGTTTGCGACAAAGAATTACCTTCTCTTGATGAGATAATTTTTGTGACAATTGCTACAGAAAATGGGGTTTGGGCATAGCATCATCTATCCTCAAGTGCAAATGTATAAAAATATTGAGCAGATAAAGGCAAACTGGCCAGGAAGATGCTGAAGAACAAACTGATGCTAGAAAAAAAAAAGAAGGGGAGCCATGAAGTCTGGAAATGGTGGCGTTGAGTTGATGAAGACAACAATGTCATATGGTTTTAGACATAACGGTGTGCTAGTCATGATATAAGGGGACATTAAGTTGCCTATCCTTGATTATAGACATTAAAATTGGAATGTTATTTAATCCATATGCAATATTACTGATATATCATTTTTAATTTAATTAATGATTAATTTTTTTTTTTGTAAAATCATATTGGTTCCTACAACCACACAACAAATATATATATATATATATATATATATATATATATATATATATATATATATATATATATATATATATATATATAATACCCTTTTTACTAACTTACATCTTTGGTTGTTTCACAAAAAAAAAAAAAAAAAAAAAAAAAAAAAAAAAAAAAAAAACTTTATTCGACATTTCTTTACGAAATGGTCAATAAACAATAAAACACTTTATTTAACATCTCTTTAGTAAATGTTCAATGACTAAATCAATGCTAGTCAATGAAAATTTACTATTTAGTTAAACCATTGACTTAACTTTAGGATATGTTTGGCATGTAACGTTTTGGAGCGTTTGTGAGCTTCTAGCTTGTAGTATTTGACAAAACGCTCTGTTTAAAACAAAAGTCTTGTTTAACACTACAAACTTCTAGCGTTTAGTTTAATTAAAATGCTCCAAATCCAAATGCTACTTCATGTAGCGTTTAACAAAATGTTATAAGCTCCAAGCTACAAGTTACCCGCTACCAGCTAGTTTTGCCGAACACGCCCTTAGTCTCTAAGTTATTTATGATTCAATATTTATTTTATTTTTAAGGTTTGTATATTTATATTTCAAAAACTATTTGAAATCATCTTATAATTAATTTATTTATGAGCTAGTTTTTTTATTTTTATTTATTTCTAAAATTTTAATTTTCGCTAAAACGGGAAATACTCTTAATCCCAAACTGAGGATGTTACGTTAGCTGCTAATTGTTGTTTTCAGACAAAGAGATAATAGTCGTAATGTTTTGAAGTCATTCTGGTAACCAATATCAACCAAAATCATCCTTTAGATTAATGAATTTAATTTATTAAGACGATTTGTACCGGGACACCATCCTTCATATTCAGATTTACCAAACGGTCGAATCAAAAAAACCTTATTTGGTGCTAAAGTTTTTTGGTACATGATACAGTTTTCCTTCATTAACCTATAAGTAGTATTCAAATTGATAATTTTGTATGCTACAATCTTTCCCGAAAATAATCTAACCACACCAAGTGCCTTCAATTCTAATAAGTCTCACTCATCTTGCTGCATCACCTCTACTTTTCTTTCGATAAAGGTTAGGTGTAACTTTTTTGGTACAAGGTGTGACTTTTTTAAGTATAACTAGTCTTTGTTTTTTATTCTCCATATATGAATTTGCGACCTTCGACTTTTTTTATCCTAACTTTCCTATATTCATCCATACCATATATACCATTTTGTTGCAAAATCAATAAAATAAGTTAGTCAACTTGAGAAAAGAGTAAATGATTTCGGTAAAACACGTGGAATGAACTTCTAAAAATACAATAATCGAAAAAACTATAAAATTGAACACAATGTTTAACATGGGTCAATCGATGTGACCTATGACCATGAGTAAACTAGAGGATGAGGATTTTATTAAACATCCAAGAACAATTAGTTGCACATTACATGAGCTCTCAAATAAAATGAATCTCTCTTGTTGACAAACTGCTCCAAAGGATATACTTTCAACCTCACACTAATCTCTCATGAAATTTATACACACATACATATCTTGCATATTGATTTATGATGAAGATGTGTGCCTATTTATAGTCAAGCATAGGGGTACCCTAAATATGATGAGCCAGACACATACATAATTAGGCCCAAAATGAAATCAGCTAATCAAAAAACATTATATAGTTGCTTCTAGAATCTTCAAACTTTAAGGCATGTGCATAGCTACCTTTCATTCACCTTGGAGTGCATTTTCCATGCATGGTGCACATTCATCATACATTGACCAAATTCTAGATCGTTTCAGCGCATCCTTGAAAGTTATGAGCGCATTCAACAACAGACAACACATTTACAAGGCTATTAGCACATTTACCAAGAGTTTGAGCACATTTAGGGAGCTTCCACGCATTCTCTCCAACAATTAATTCTACCTAACATCAGATTCTACTCATAGAACATTGATCATAAGTGCATTCTTAGTGAGCCGGAGTGTTTGCTCCAAAGGCTTCATTGCATTACTTCTTAGAATCACATGTACTAGGGTGCATCCGCTTACCGAAAGGCATTTTACCAACATGAGAATTCTCTCACCAGGAATGCATCGTGATCAAGTATTCACAAACCAAAACAATATCACAAACATTTTTACTTAATCAATTAATAAATTTCTCATCTTAACCATTTATGAGGTCACCAACTTTGTGCTTTATTATCTATCGTCCGTGCTAATTATATTAATACAAATACACACACACACAAACATATATATATATATATATATATATATATATATATATATGTGTGTGTGTGTGTGTGTGTGTGTGTTTCTATTAATATAATTTAAATACGGACACACACACACACACACATAAACACATAGGTCAATCAAACGACTCATTCAGGAACTACTATGGAACAAATATATATTCATCCAAACCTTAATTATGCATTAAACAATAATTTAAGCATGTTATTAACTACAAACACACATGCTTCTTGCATCAACATAATATAGAAAATACAAACTAAGAAACACTTTCAATAAACAAAGCTAAATACAATGGATTACACATAAAATAAAAGATCAGGCCTTGGAATCCATGGCCAAGATGGTGCTAAGATTCATCGGATTCATGTAGTTGGAAGTGCCACCAATCATTTGTTGCACAATAATTCTATTGGCCCTTTCTGAAGGATGGAAAGGATCCCAAAATGCATAGATGTCTCTGTTTGGACACAAGTTTGACATTGGTGTGCATAATCCAAGTCCATTGTATGGTCCTTGTCCACAACATGCTACTTTTGATGTTATAAATCCTGCACAACAATAAGTTAAGTGGTCATCAAATTTTCAGAGGTTATTCTATTTATATAGATTAATAATATTTAGTAAATATTTTATCCTCTATGTAAAGTTTAATAATATTCCGTTACCATTTGTCGATGCTTACAATCATATCATTGTACTATTATATTCTTTCAAGTAAGGTGAGCGAGCCAATGAATTAGTTCACAATCATTAAACTTTCATTTTAATGTGTAATTAACTTGTTCAATCTTCCTAAACAAATTTATTTTCAGAATTTCAATTATCATTTTAGTATTTTTCTCATTAGAAGCGTGTATTAGTTGCATAATTTGGGGTCTAATTAAGCAACTTCAAATGGTTGTGTCTATTTTTGGTTAACCAATATATTATTGGTTCAAGATGTCTATTTTAGTATTAGAAAATAAATTGTCTAACATTGGTGAACAATGGACATTAGACTTTTCTTTATTCTCTAAGACTGGTAGGTATGGACACAACCGTTGAGGGATCTTGTACTGCCATACCATCCTCTTCTTGAAGGAAACAACGTTTGAGTTTGAGAAGGACGAAGAAATGGAGAAACTTGTTGAGGTGAAGAAAACAGAGGAAGAAAAGGAAAAGAATGATAGCTTAAACAGAGGAAGAAATGGTGTTGTGGAATGTTCTGTTGGTAACGTGAAACAATGAAAAGCATAGGGGTGGTGAAGCCGTCGTGGCAACGTCGTTACCGGCCGGCCACGTCAACAAAATCGCCCACGATGTTGCACGCACCGGATACTCTAATGATGAAACAATACTGCAAAATGGATTATTTTCCCACAGAACATTACCCATGAAAGTTAATATCCCATTAGAAATACCAACAAATATAAGTATCACTAGTTTGTTGGAGACCTAAAAGCAAGACACATGATTTTTATAACATTTTATAACAATAGATTTTCACTTATTCACTTATGTTTATGTAAACTAGTTTATTATTATTATTATTATTAGTATCATCATATCATCATCATCAATTGTATAAGGAATATAATATCAATGATAAAATATAATGATATTAAATAATATAACAACCTAAAAATGGATCAAATAAATCGGAACTCGGTCAACCTTGGTCAAAATCGGTCCAACTCGTCAAACTCAGTAAAATCAAATTTTTAAGATGAATATGGATATTTATATTTTATCTAACATATTAACTCTAAAACTAAAGAAGTTACCAAATAAACCAAGTCACACACACACACAACACACACACACACTCTCTCTCTCTCAATTACACACACACACTCTCTCTCTCTCTCAATTCACTTAAAAATAGAAAAAAAATCAAAATTTTAAGATTAATACGTATATTTATATTTTATCTAACATACTAATCCTAAAACTAAAGAAGATACCAAATAAACCAATTGTATATGTTTCTCTCTCTCTCTCATAATTATAATATTTACTTTTTTGAAATATTTTTACATTAAAAAATGTATTTTTTTATTGATATTTCACATATTTTGATAGGATTTTTAATAAACATGTGATTTTTGATATATGTATTTTCCCCAAAACTAATTTTTTTTTTTTATGAACTACCATATTCGACTACTTTTGTACCCACTACTCCCTAGTTGATTGAACGAGTAACGAATAGTGAGTTCCGTAATATATATATATATATATATATATATATATATATATATATATATATATATATTTCTTTTTTCGGAAAAAAATAAGTATATTTCTCTTTGAGGCATACAAACAAAAAAAGGAGTATTTATTATTTTATCTTTGTTTTGAATAATCTGTAAAGAAAAAACTTATCAATTTCTTAGGGTTGTATGTATATATAATTCATATCAATGTTGAATGCTCAAAATCATTGTAAAACGTTAATAGATTGCAAAAACCAAAGTTTGAATAATATGAATGAAGTGATTTCGTACCATAGGCTTGAGGATTAGATATGTAATCCATATGCATTTTCATTGTATTAGCGGCTACGAAAATATTACTACCCTTCTCATCATTGAGTCCTTTTAACATATCATTAAGTTGAGGGTTGAATAGATTGGCTGCCCGTTGCAACTCTACTGAACATTCTCCGGCTCTACTCCGTTGAGCCAACTCTGCTGGCACACATCCCATTGGTCCTGTGCCCATCACCAACACCTTTCTAGCTCCCACATCATACATTTTCTACATTTAAGAAAAAAAAATTAATCGATTTTGCAAAACCTTTAATGGATTGTTATTTATATTATAAAAATTAGATTTCCAATATTCGATAGGAAAGAAACGATTATCTAAACAACAAATACCCGTTTTTGCAACTTTAGGATTATGAACAATTTAATGTTACTAAATCAATCACTCTATTTATATAAATAATTATTTAAAATGACGCATTTTGACAGAAAAATCAAAAATTTGTTATGAAACAAGCGCATAGGGGAGAAATCAATCATTATCGCTGTTTGTGCAAAACCATTAATAGGCACATGAAGTTATGCAACCAAATATAGATATTCCCACCAACCACAATACACTTCAAATCCATCAAACCTATGCTCCATTCATAGCATTTAATATTAAAAATTATATATTCATTACGGTATATAAATATTAAATGATTTATTTGTATAAAAACTAAATATTTCCTGATTTAGTGGAAATCATATGGGTAAAATGGATGAAAGTAACGTAGGTGATATGATTGTAGAATATGAACTATATATATTCTTCATGTATAGAGTTACCATGATTGTGACAATATTATTACATATAGGAATGCTGTTTTTTTGTTCAAATATAAACTCAAATATAAAAAGATTTAATGTTTTGATCTATTTTAACATTGATCTTCGCAAAGTACCTCCTCTTCATACAATTAAAATGTTGAATTGTTTCCCCATAAGTGCTTATCCTTAACATGCTCTAAATTAATTTGGTAAACAATGATAATAGTTACCACATATAGTAAGAATTAATGTATTGCAATGTTATTCTACCAAAGAAATTTACCGAAAGAATGTTTCTATATTCAGAAACTACATAGCGAACATAATCTGGTAGAGAGAATTGGCGAGATCTAGCAGATAGTGGAACAAGGTAGTAATTGTTCACGAAGTCGTTTCCACCAAGTGATATGAGTGAGATCCCATTGCTAACAATCTCACGAGTTCGGTCTGCTCCAACAATATCTGTCAGTCGAACTTGGAATTGTTGGAAATACTCTAATTGTTTCCACATCCGAACTATATTTAACTGTGGGACATAAATATATTTATTAGTACAATATTAAACCATGGTAACCTTTTATATTTTTGGAAACTTGGAAATACACTAATTATTTCCTCATGAGTGTTGGATGTGCTGCAATGTACATGAGGTCCATTATCATTATTAATTGTCTAATAATAGTAATATCTTTCAACTCCTTAAATGACCAAATCTAAAAAAGATTTCTTCTAATGACATGTGCATCATGCAATAGAATTATCAAAGATTTAAAGTCACTAATGAGTCAAGTTGTCAGCAGAGATACCAATCTAATCATTATAACAAATCTTTTAAAAGTGCAAATTACAATAAATATTAAGATATTACTTTCAATATCGAAAAGCTTATGGTATAAGCATATAATCACCAATAAGCCAAACTCTTCACAAAATTGTTTCGTAAAATAAAACCCAACCGAAAAGCTTATGGTATTATCATACTTATAACAAAATTGTGTTGTAAAATTAAAAATTTACTGAAAATATGTTCACTTTATGTATGGTTTATACATTTTATAAACAGAAACGTATAAATCTGTCTTTTATAACAATTAACGATATATAATGTGTAAAGGCATATGTGGGGACATACAAATTGAATTCCAGTGTCATTGAGGATTCCAATTCCAGCAGAAGCAAAGTTGGCACCAGCTAGGAGCTTGTCTCCCTTTAGCAACGGATGCAAGTATGGCAATGGGGACTCCATTCCCATATGCTCACCTTTAGATATAAAAAAAACATATATATATACAAGTTACTCATCTCATGAAATAAATATAACAACTTCTTAATGTTAACTAATATCTACCAACTATAAGCTATGTCACAAAAATACACGGATTAATTGCCAACATTTTTACTCTTTGTACGTTTTTTAAACACACTATGAATATTGTAACTTTTAAAAATAGTCATATTGTAATAGTTACTAGTAATAAAAACGCACTGATTAGATCCGGGATGTTAAGCCCATTAGAGAACCGGCCAGTGGGACGATGAGTCGGATAATCAATGCCATAAGGTGGTGAATCGGCTCTAGCAGTAGTGAATAGGAAGTCATTATTGCCATTATCGACTAGTGAATCCCCAAAGACAAAAAAAGCCCGAGCTTCAGCTCCAAAAGGGACATTGAAGAACACCATTATTGCTAAACAACACAAAGAAAACAAACGCTCCATTGAACAACAAAATCTAAGAATTTTTCTCAAAATTGTTTTAAAAATGTATGGATTGATCAAACCAGAATGAGATGCCACTTTTTATAGTGATTAGCGGTGGCGAACGATGGTACAAAAATTAATGGGCAATTGCTACCACCACCGGAATGATGCCGGCATCGAAACTAGTGAAGTTAAATATGGATGTCTATAATGCATGCTTTTGAGAATTGGGGAACTTGCTTTCACTTTTTAGGCATGGTGTAATGCCATGCAATGTTGGTCCAAATTTGTGAATAGGCCAAAGTTACTCGTGAGGAATTCGTACAATTGATAGGATAGAAATAGTGTCATTGTCGTAATCGGAATCCAAGTCGTCTGTACACCACCACCATGTGGTGGCGCAGGACCAATTATATAAGATTTATAGCGGATCTAATATGTATATATTAATGGAGAATGTGCTTCTAATTATACATAATCTCTTTAATTTTTTCAATATTGGTTTGTGTCTCACTAAACAACCGTTGTATGTTCAAGAATTACGTGCCTCTAAACCGGAATGAATTATAATATTATATCTATAAGTTAAATTGCAATTAATAATATCAGGAATTGCAAGCATGCATTGTTGTGTTTGAAGGTTGTCAAACTTTTGTGTCTAAATTACGCCAAGATATATTTAAAAACATCAATGTATACATTTTACTTTAACATTTATGTAATTATAGTTATCATATGTTTGTTTAGATTTAATTGAATTTGGTTGTATACATTCGGTGGGATTGAACATGAGTTTTGCTTTCACTGAGTTGCTGTGTTACATGATATGTTGAATGAGGATGGTGATTGATGAGCTACCAATGCATTTAGTAGGACTTTAAATATATGGGACATAGAAACCGGAAACTGTATCTGACGGCAGGTCTTCCCACAGTCTAAGGATGCTTCCGGTGCTCAATCACATTATAAAAACTGATTGCCTAGTAGATGGGCGCTAACCATGTGTACAACTGTTGCCAAACAAATACACACAAGATCACAATATATATATATATATATATATATATATATATATATATATATATATATATATATATATATATATATATATATATATATATATATATATATATATATAGAGAGAGAGAGAGAGAGAGAGATAGGTATTCTAACTAAATATTATATGGATGTACGATGAATGTGAGCCAATCATTTCAAATACGTAAATAAGGGTAAAATTGTAATCTTAGCTAAAAATTAATTTTGATAAATTTAAATCAATTAAAGTCCCTTTAAACAGGATTCAGTTTCATAGCATTAACCCTAAATCTCGTTCCAAGCCTTCTTCACCAAAGAACATACGATTTCTACCAGAAACTCAAACAAGTCGCAAATGTGGTGGTTTTGTGTTGCTTGGTGTTCGGCAGGAGGAGTCTGATGGTCTCTGGAATTGATGAGTCCGAACAGAAGAAGAAGAATAACGCAGGAAGTTGTGTCAATTCTCGGTGGTGGCTAAATGATCGCAAAATGGAAGGGGTTGTCCCTTGGGTGTGACGAACCGAAGCAACAAATGGGACGAACCAGCAACAGTGATCCGTAACAGTGGAGGGGGCTCGATGGTTTTTTCTTGAATATCCCAGGTCGTTCCTTTTTCTTCTTTTATTTTTTTTATTGTCTTGATTGAAGCTGAGAAGAATGAAATCGACTTTCTAAATTTCTTAAATTGGATGTTCGGACCTTCAAATAGCCAAAATTGGATCAATTACGAAATCTTGAGGAATGGCGGCATGACCTCCATTAGCATGGATCACCGTCCTGAAAATGTCATACCCCGCCAATAAGTCGTCGGAACTAGATGCACGACACCACAATCCGAGGAGAGGACTACATGTAGACCGAAATTGGCCTCCACTTTTTTAAGAACACCTTCTTTGAACCAGTTGAAATATCAATACCAGAGTCCCCTAATTAATTAATTAATCCAAAGTTAATTACTTTTGAGGTGATCAGTCGAACCCCAATTGATCTTTATGATCAGTTTACCTACCCGTAATTCGTTTTCTAGTTGTTTCAAGATTTTCGCAGCACCAAGAAGCATTGAAACATGTGCATCATATCCACAAGCATTGTATTCTAAGTAACTATATATTTGAGAATTATATTTTTTAAGAATTTTATGCATTTTGATGACATTCTATTAGAATATGCATTTTGAGAATGATATTTTTTAATAATTTGTTCAAGAATTATACTTTTGAGAATGATATTTTTTAAGAATTTTATGCATTTTGATGACATTCTGTTAGAATATGTTTAATTATAATAAAATGTATCAAAAAATTTATATTTGAGAATGTATCAAAAATTCTAATCGAATTAATTAAAAAAATCTGAATTCAAAAGTAAGATAATAAAAACAATTCAGAAATTTCCGAAAATTCCATTTTTAAATTTGTGTTTCATAATTTAAAAGTAATGTAAATATACAATTTTGTCATTCTTTTATGTAAATGGTATTATTCAATTTATTTTTTATTTAATAATATGGATGAATAATTTTCTTAAAATAACTAAAATGTTTGGTCCACAATCATTCTTACATCCACACAATAATTAGTTAACATAGAATATCCTAAGCATATATATATACATATATATATATATATATATATATATATATATATATATATATATATATATATATACACACACACACACACACACACACATTGGGTGTTAGACCAATTTATTACATGAGTTAATTTAAAAAAAAAAATTAATATAAAGGACAAAATATATAAAAACTTAGGATTTATAAGAAAATAAAAAAAAATAATGAATTATTAAAATTGATTTGTTTATCTTTTAAATTTAAATAAATAAACAAAATAAACAAATTAGTTTTAATTTAGAAATTTTAAAATAAGATGATTAGTCCATTAATGAAATTAGTATTTATTTGTTACTTCATTTAATGTAATTATTATATTAAAGTATGATTTTGAATTTTAGTAAACTACAACTCATAAATGACATGTGGAAAAAAAAAATTCAAAATAACCACAAAATTACTTTTGACAAATTGAATGAGAGTGTGACAAGTGATAAAAAAAACATTGATTTATTATATATATATATATATATATATATATATATATATATATATATATATATATATATATATATACACCTTTTGACACAAAAGTCCTTAATATTTGTATTTTTGTCAGTTTAGTCCTTCTAAAAGATTTTTGGTTCATTAATACCCAAAGTTTTCGATTTTTTTTTTATTTTTGCCATTTAGTCGGTCTGCCAATCCATATAATGTATCTTTCGGCTTAACTGGTGCTGATTGCGCTTTTTGCTGACGTGAGCATGCTCTTCATTACTAAAAAATAAAGAGAAGGTAAAAAGATATGTTGTTAACGAGTTTCGAACCCTCATCTACTCCATATCAAGGCAAAGCCAATGCCACCTAGCTAAACAAACTTCTATTATTATAGTTGAAATATTATATATATATATATATATATATATATATATATATATATATATATATATATATATATATATATATATATATATATATATATATATGGGCTTTTGTCATAAAAGCCCCCAAATTTACATGAAAAAACCGGTTATGCCCAAAATCGTTTTTTTTACCACAAATGCCTAACATTTGCCCCTCATGTTTCATTTCAATGTTTTTTTTCTGGTTCCCCTTAAACAACCGGTTACTTCCACCTTTTTAACCCCCAAACATAAACCTCTTCCGTTAACATCGATCCAAAGTCTTTCCCTCCCATGCTTCTATTCTCTCCCTCGTCTTCTACCCAAAGTATCTGTAAAATGTCGACTTCGTCTGCCAAATCAAGCTTCCAAGGTGGTCCAACATTGAGAAAGAAAAGAATAGTTAGATGTGGCTGTGGAGATGTGTGCAAGGTATCTGTTGTTCGAACACCTGAGAACTATGGAAAGAAGTTTTACGGGTGCCCTAATGACAAGGTAAACAATTTGCCCTAATTTGTAAATTTCTTGAGAAACCTTGAAATGGTATAATGAAGAAACCTTGAGAAACCATGAAACAATTTGCCCTAATTTGTATGTAATTCATACAAATTATTGTTTTTTTCTAGGTGGAAGAAGAGGATTGTGGTTTTTTCAAATGGTACAATGAACAAGATGGTCACATTATTGACCCAACTCACACAACGCAGAAGCAGGGGCAGGGGCAGGGGCATGGACAGTTGAAGACTTTGGTAGAAATGATTGTAGGTCTTTTGGTTCTTATTTTTGTAATGGTGACAATAGTTGCTTTGAAGATGTAAATGTTGTTTTGAAGATGTAAATCATTTTGGATTGACTTTTGGTAGAATGTTTGGGTTGACTTGGCTTTTGGTTTTTAGTTGCAAATGGATGTACAATGTTGAAGTTGGCTAGTAACTGTTGTTTTGGATGAAGATTAAATAGCTAAACGGTATATCGTTCATAATATACATTAAATTTATTAATGGTAAAGTACAATGCTAAAGTTGGCTAACTGTAGTTACAAATGATACCTAATATATATGCCAATGTTGTGAAATGGTATGATGATGTGAAATGGTAAAATAGAAATTATCTGTGAAATGTAAATGGTAAACATAACAAACATATGGTTCATAATATACATTAAATTGCTAAATGGTAAAGTACGATGCTAAAATTGGCTAACTGGTAAAGTACAATTGATACATAATATATATGCCAATGGTATGGATCATACAAAATATTTGTGAAATGAAAATGGTAAAGTTCAATGAAATGGTACAATGCTGTGAAATGGTACAATGCTGTGAAATGGTAAAATAGAAATTATCTGTGAAATGTAAATGGTAAACATAACAAACATATGGTTCATAATATACATTAAATTGCTAAATGGTAATGTAAAATGCTAAAATTAGCTAACTGTAGTTACAAATGATACATAATATATATGCCAATGGTATGGATCAAAAAAACATAGTATAAAATAACAAACATAACAAACATATTATAACCATAATGAGGGGATTCATTACATCATATTCATGTACCAATACAAAATATTGCAAAAGATCAACTAACATGTACCATTCATCCATTTGTACCAAATTGCCAAAAGTATATCCCAAAAAGGCAACCCAAAAGGTACATGAGAACAAGTGGATGAAAGGTACACTTAGTGGGTGTATAAACTAACATGTACAAAATGTACCAAAAAGGGCTTCCTGTGCAAATGCCCAACTATACCATTCTCACCTAAATCCCCCATATATATAACTAACTACTCCAGATTCACTGGATTTGAACATGTGGAACCACCCCCATCTTTATCAAAAACTGCCTTTTTAAGATTTAGTTTAGTGATCCTCTCTGATTGCTTTCTTTTCCTTGTCTTAGGCACTATCAGAACATCACCAGCAACCACATTCCCATCATCAGCAACCTCATTATTTAGAACATCACCAGCAACCTCATTCCCATGATTAACACCTTCACCTTCAATCACATCACCATCATCTTGATTTTCAACACCTTCACCTTCACCTTCAATTACACCACCATCATTTAGAACATCATTTATAAAGTCAGCTTCACCTTCATCAACATCAGGCTCATCCTCATTTAAGTCCTGATGCAAGAAATAACAAGGTTAATAAATAACATATATTTAAAATTACAAGGTTAATAAATTACCATCTCAACTGGTGGAGTGTCATGAAGTTCAATTTCCAACCACCCCATGCTTTCAATTTCACCCATGGAATATCCTGCTTCAAGTAAATTTTCTATGTCTTCAACACTTATCTTCATTTTATCTGGGAGAACATCTGATGCATGTCCTTCAGTGAATTCAGGTTCTACACCACCTTCATTCACCAATGGAACATCAGATGCATCTGATGCATTTCCAGAACCAAGAATTTCATCAATTGCATCTCCAACTTCATCAAGACTTTGTTTTAGATCTTGGGCAACCTTTACTGGAACATCAACTACTTCTTCTTCTATCACCATAATTTCATCTTCCTCTTGTATCACCTCATTCACCAAAGGAACTTCATTAACAGCAGGAAGTTGTATCACCTCACTCACAACTGGAATTTGGTTATTGACCAAATAAACATCTTTAAAAATTAGCTCTGGCACCTTCACTGACACCTCAGTTTCTTCCTCTTCTATCATCTCATTCACCAAAGGAACATCATTAAGAGCAGCAACTTGAGCAACCTCATTTGGAACCTGGTTGTTGACTTCATCCTGAAATTTGGTTGTTGACTTCCTATTTGGCCTTCTTACACCCAATTTCTTCCTTCTAACATCTGGGATAGTTACTCCACTTGAAATTTCACCAAATTTGAAACTTGGGCCTCTTAAACCTAATTTCCTCATTTTCTTGCTAGTGTTAGAACTTGAAGCATGCAGACTACCCTTTTGACTTGCTTGTTGACTAGCTTGAGTGGTTATAGTTGATGTCACAAGTGGTTGACTGCCCTATTGACTTGCTTGTTGACTAGATTGAGTGGGTATAGAAACATGTGGATTGGATCCAGCTACATTACATTTCCTAGGCCTCCCAATCTTCTTTGGTGGCATAGGAGCAGGTACCTTTTTTCATTCTTGCAGCCTTTTTTATTATGCCCATACTCAAGACAATTAGCACATCTCACAGTCCTTGGGGGTTTCACCCTTGAAGTGGAACTAAACTTACTCTCTTTCTCACTTGCATGCCTCCTTCTTTTGGTTTTGGGCCTACCAGGCATTTTCCTACCAACATGTGGCAAAGGCTTGTTGTATCCAGTTAGAGGCCACATATTACTCCCATTCACAGGACTGATGTTTGTTGAGTAGAATTCCTTGAATTTAGTCACTGAAAAGTAGTCACTAATATATCCATCTGGAGTTTGATGGATATAATTAATGGCTGCTATGGCATGGACACAAGGGATTCCAGACAAATCCCATAATCTGCAAGAACAAATCCTACCATCCAAATCTACCTTGTAACTAGTACATGCTCTTCTCACTTCAAATACATTTCCTAAGCTATGCACTACTAACCAAAGCCTGCATGAAGACAAATGAGTATGTATTAGTCATTATATATCAACTATAATGACAATTAGACAAAGAAACAATTATTTTGTGTCTTACCTAAAGTTCTTTCCAAAAAGATTCATCTTCTTAATCACCTCTGGACATATATTACCTTTCCATTTACTGTATTCATCATTCATAAAGGAAAACCTGTCCATTATGTATATCCTTATCTCTTCAAGCATTGTAATCAAAGGTTTTTTCCTAGCTTCTTCAATTATTGAGTTGAAACACTCTGAAATACCATTCTCCACTGCCTCACAAGCAAACCCTACACTCATGTAAGCTCTGCACCATGTTTTGGGTTCTTTTGACATTAGATACTCATATGCACTAGGGCTTATGGTCTTTATTTTTTCCATGTTTCTCAAGAAGTCACCTTCAACACAACTCATTGCACAAGCCCAGAACAACTTCTTCAACTCCAATCCAGAGAAAGCTTTATTAAAATTTGCATAAATGTGTATAGCACATTGCCTGTGCTCCACATGTGGCAAAATAACCTTAATAGATTCAAGCAAACCCTATGAACAGACATATTATCTTAGTATTTATAACCATATTGAAATAATCAAATTGAAGTATACTATAATTATAAGGGAACTTACTTTATGTTGATCAGAAATAACAACCAAATCTACACCAGTACCAAGGTCAAGATCATCCTTCAGAAGCTCCAGAAACCAGGTCCAATTATCCTTGTTTTCCACATCAACAACAGCCCAAGCTATTGGGAACACTTTGTTATTAGCATCTCTACCTATAGCTGTGAGTAATTCACCTTTTACCTGACCCTTTAGGAAGCATCCATCCAACCCTATTACCTTCCTACACCCTATTTTCCATCAAACACTTAAAGCCTTGAAACATATGTAAAACCTTTTAAAATAATTATTATCATCTGGATTGTTAGTAACACCAACTTTGCATGTAGACCCAGGGTTTGATCTCAATAACTCTTGGGCATAATCCCAAATTCTTGCATAGTGTTCATTTAATTTACCCTCAATCAGTTCTTTTGCCCACTGTTTTGCCCTTCTAACATGTCCTATAGATACCACACATCTATATCTTTGTTTGATGTCACTGATCATCTCCCTAAGTTTAACTTTGGGCTTATTTGCTATCTCAGTTACATAGTGTCTTCCAATCCATTCCGGGTTAACAATAGACCCATATTTAAACACTTTAGAACAAAGATGCTCAGAATTCATTGCTTTAACCTGAAAGGTTCTGTCATTGTACATCCATGCTGCATAAAGTCTAAAAGGGCATCTATTATCTTCATGTCTCTTACCACATCTTGCAACAATTCTTCTATTGTCACTCTTCTGAAAGTATATTTGGTACCCTCCATTTACTGCATAGTTTGTCACACATAATTTCAGTTGTGCAGGTGATTCGAACACGTCCCCTAACTTAGGTTCCATCTTATCCCACCTAACATTTGGATCGTGTATTCTGTATTTGTTAGTCACTTCTTCCTCTACCTCCTCCTCATTTTCCAAATCATTACCATGGTCCACTCGATCTTTCATCTCATTAGTCATACTTGCATTTCTAATGTTCGCATCACAAAGTAGAATGTTAAGAAAATGATCCTTACATTTATCAAGCCTTGATACAAACTCCTGTCGTGGTTCATGATCCATGTAAATCCCGTGCAGCTCAAAATCCATCTCATTTAACCCAGAAAAAATCTCGTAAATTCCAGCAAATGGGTCGTCGTAACCATCATCTGAAGAACCCATTTCTAACCCCTACACAATCGCAACCATTATCATGAAAAGTAAGGACTTAATAGAGATGATTTCTCGTAAAAAAACATGATCAGACCGTAATTTCTTACCTCTTGAAAAACCCTAGCTTCAGACAATGAGAATGTTTCACCAAAATGGGAGGGTGGAGAGTGTTAACAGAGGACAAACGGAGGAGACGGGCAAATGTTACCGGTTGCAAATGGGGAAGTAACCGGTTGTTTAAGGGGAACCGGTAAAAAACATTGAAATGAAACATGAGGGGCAAATGCTAGGCACTTGTGGTAAAAAAAACGATTTTGGGCATAACCGGTTTTTTTATGTAAATTTGGGGGCTTTTATGACAAAAGCCCTATATATATATATATATATATATATATATATATATATATATATATATATATATATATATATATATATATATATATATAAATTGTTATAACTTTATAGGTTATTATTATTATTATTATTATTATTTTTATTATATGACATAAATACATATATTCATACCTATTATATACAAATAACAATATTTTATAATGTATAAATTCTTTTAAAAAGTATATAATTTGTATTTAAAGGTATACGTATTCGTATATTTCAAATGTATAAACACTTTTTGAAATGTTTAAATACATCTTTAGATGTATAAATATACTTTTAAATATATAAATATATTTAAGTTTTATTTATACCAATAAATTTTTTTTTTCATTTTTTTTATTTTTATACATAAAATAACATTTTTATACATATGAAGTTTTTATTTGTAAATTTTTTTTCAAATGATAATATATATATATATATATATATATATATATATATATATATATATATATATATATATATATATATATATATATATATAGTTGAGTTTAACAAAGAATCATTTTAAACCTTAAAACCAAAGAACCCATCTTTTCTTAACTTTTAAAGCAAATTTTTTCATAATAAAAAACATACAAAAAAAATAAAAAAATAAAATAAAATAAAATAAAATAAAAAACTAAAGATATAGATATTAATAACATTTTATCTTTCATTCATTGATATCAAATTTGTTAAAAAAAATTATCTGTTTAGTTTCACACTATGAATTTATTCAGATTCACATTGTAATTTGTATAGATTCACCCTATGAAATCTGTGCACATTTATAGTGTGATTCTGTGCATATTCACACTGTGAATTTTGTGCAGATTCAGACAGTGAATTATATAGAATTAATGATTTATAGTGCAGTTTTACAATGTGAATCTGAACAGATAAAAAAAAGTAAAAATGTTTTTTTTATCTAATTTGATATCAATGGAAAAATGATAACAATTTATGAATTTGTATATTTTTTAGAATCTTTTTTCATTCAGTAATAAGATCTGAAACTTAAAAAGTTAATAGTTCGTTGGTTTTATAGTTTTAAATGGTTGCTTGTTGAACTTTTGCCTATATATATATATATATATATATATATATATATATATATATATATATATATATAGAGAGAGAGAGAGAGAGAGAGAGAGAGACAGAGAGAGAAAGAGTTAGGTTATTTTGTTTTCTGTAAGTATTGTGTGCATGTGTAAATGATTCTAGACCAATCATTTGTGTTAAATTAAGAAAGTGATTTTCTTTTAAAATTAAATATAAAAACAAATTAATAGGGTAGTATCATACATTACCTTCGTCATTTGAATAGGAAACCTTCGTTTCTTTTGGAACCAATTCACACAATCATCATAAATATCTCGCAAGCAATCAAAATCAAAAACCCATTTCAGACAGAGATCAAAACATATTCTAATTTTGTCTAATCAATCTTCAAAATTGGAAGATTTTGTGAAGGTATTTAATCTAAATATCGACATTAAACCCTAGAAGACGGAGAAGGCGTTGGGGGTTCTCTGTGAATTGTATTCTTGAAGAATGAGGAGTACAAGGCCGACTTCATTCAAGTCCAAGTTCAAGAACACAGTAGAGATGGTGTTGAATCTTATGACGATGATGATTTTTCACAACTAGCCTTTTTGCTAGGAAATTATGTACTCTTGTAAACATCATATATTGTGATACATGTAACTCTAAGTTGATACTATGCACTATGGTTATTCAATGACAACAAACCGAATCAAGGTTCACAAGTGAAGTTCAAAACTATATGCAAAACATTTCAATTAGTCAATCATGAGTTGAAAACCCTAGAAATCTCGGTTCAAGTTCACTATGGACTAGTATCCACTTATTGGACCTAATGGACTAATAAACTTTCAACTTGACTACTTTGGGCCTAGAAACCCTAATTTGGTTCTAATTGGACTCACACTCATAAAACTTAACATTTTGGGCCATGCGAGCCTAAAATGGTTCATTTATTCCTAATAGGAAAAGTTGGTTCATAATGATTCCATTTCCTTGCCCTAATGGGCTGTGAAGCCCCTTAATTGGGCTTCATTGGACCGTGAACTGTCACACCCCAAACCAAAACGGCGGAATTGTTCGAGGGCGAATGACTTCATGTAGTATCGTAACAATTGAATACATAGTAAAGAAAGTAAAACAACCATCATATATATAATTTAAAAGATACATTGTTGAATGATACTTGTTCAAAACAAATTACAATATGATGACAAAAATGAGTTTTAAACTAACGACTTAGCGTCACTTTTCCAAACTCTGAAGTCTACCTGTATTACTGAATCCCTAAGAAATACAAGTAGTTTCGAAAGAATGTCAACAATTAAGTTGGTGAGTTCATCAGCGTTTATGTATCAAATTTGTAAGTTTAGTATAAATCAATGAGTTTACTTCTGAAAAATCCAATATTTTTCCATTAGTGTGTGGTAGTTTAAAAGTTCCAAAACTGTAATGCATTAGTAGTTGTCATGCCTAGAATAATAGATTTATGTATGTATAAAGTCACTAAGACATTTGATAACCCCGTAAATCATTGTGTTTTTAATACTCCATGTGAGTTTTATAACCATGCTATCGACCTAGGCTGCTTGTAACAACATTCTTCAGGCGTTAGAATGTTATGATGTTTGTCACCCGAGACCTGCCGGTCTAACTCTAGCTAACAGATTAGGTGCGGGATTGTCAATCTCGTATAAATCTATACACAAGTATCACGCTCTCCCTACAAGAGATTATGGTATATAATACAGGACTTTAACGACATACTTGAAACTACATGAAGTTGAATGTCTCACAAAACTTAGTATCAAATAGATTTACGTATGAAAATTCCACTTGTTCTTGTATTCGAAAGTATTTCCTTGATATAGTACTGATAGTATGTAAAATCTCATGATTTCCCTGTAAACTATACCTATTATAGTTTTTCCAAAAGTATGTTTCGTTTGTATGGTAAACCCTAGTGTAGTGTCGGCCTTGTACATAAAGTATAACATTTGTAATGATATCATTGAGCATTTATACTCAAAATATAAATAAAGTGTTTGATATTTATATAAGAACATGTTTCATTTCAAAATGGACCAAGTGTTATCGTGATATGTTGCATGAGAACGTTTTCGAATGATAGTTATAAATCACATATGATTGATTATAACAAAAGGTATAGCAAAAAAGATTTATGTTATTCACACGAGGATAATTGTGTGTTTACTTGTATTCCCCCCCCCCCTCTAAAAGTGTATAAATTTACAACGCATTTGAAAACGTAGTTATAAGGGTATGAACTCACTTGATAGATTGAAGAAGGTGAGAAGAAAACCGAGTAGAAGTTCGACAGGAGAAAACTGATTCCTTGGAATTCTCGGGAATCTCAGGAGTGTAAAACCTTCCTTCGGGACTTGGATGTGAAAACCAGGGCTTCGGGATGGCTTCGGGGTTTAAAACACAGAGCTTTGGCACGAGAGAGAAGAGAATTGAGCACCTAAACCCTAAACCATCGGTTTCTATTTATAGGGGTGAAATCTGAGGTTCACGTCGTGAGTTTGGGTGGCTCATGTTGTGAGCTCGACCTGCCTCCTCTCGAAGACTTGAAAACTCGTTGATAGGATTTGGAACCCATCAGTCACAGGTTCACGTCATGAGTACGGGTGGCTCACATCGTGAGCTGCCTGATAGCCTCGGGACGGGAAAAGTCCGTTAAAAATCCATAACTTCTTCATCTGGTGTCCGTTTTCGTCAGACTTTTTACCGTTGCACTACTATTGTTGAGATCTTCGATTATCATTTAGGTTATTTCAGCCAACAATCCCTCGTTCTCTATCTCGAGTGTTTAGTTGTCTGCCGCTATCCTGAAACTTAGAAAAATCATAACTTCCTCACACGAAGTCAGATTTTGACATTCTTTTTATGCACGCTCACGGTTTAGTATAATCTACAACTTTCTTTTAGATACCTTAGGCTAAAAAGTATTTTATTGAAATTTTACTTTTTATGTTTGCCAGTGTTTTACCGATTTTGACACGAATTTTCGATTAGCATATCTTCTTCGTTATAACTCAGATTTTAGTGTTCTTTATATTTCTGGAAACCTTGACACGATAACTATCATTTTAGGCAACCCAATAGAGATTTCTGAACATTTTATTTTTGACACTAATTTCATTATATCAAAAGAGATTACAATTATTGACTTTTTAGGTAATTACATTGATTCGAAATATCAGGGTGTCACATGAACCCCCCTAAGGGCCTAATGGGCCGAAAATTTATAATTAGGTTTCATAAAAATCGAGCAAGGCCAAGGTTGGTCTCAAAATCATTTCATTTTCATTTCTCTTATCCCATTCTCAGCCCAACATCCATTAACACAAAAAAAGAGGAAACTAATGGGAGAAAATAGGGTGACACGTCATAATTATTTGTTGGATATCCATGCAAGAGTGCATGTATCCATGCAACTCTCACACCACCCTTTTCATAATTCAAATTCTAAATGACTCTTATCTCTCACTCTATCTCTCGGCCTTCTCTCACTCTCCAACCTCTCTCACACTTCAAGATTAACACATATTCTCTCA